GTGTGCTGACACGGGCCGTGTCAGCTCCCTGGTTTCATCCTACTTTGCAACTTCTGAGCACTTCCTGACACGGGTCGTGTCAGGTGACACGGGTGGTCGTGTCAGGCTACTGGTTCACTTCAAAACTCTTTCAAAGTCTTGCTGATTTACCCGTTTTTGCTCCTATTCTTCTTTATTGCTTACCTGAACCTAGAAACAGTGAAATACCAAACCAACGCGTAAAATGCAATAAAAACAAATAAAATGCGATGAGACATTTCAAATTATTAACTAAAACTAATGGCAAAATAATGTATAAAAACCATTGATCATGTAACCTATTACCTCAAACATGGTAACCAATTACACCATGAAAGTTTGCCCATAAAATGCAGTTTTCAGACAATCTAACGGTTATGCCCACAGTGGTAACCGATTATATTGTATGCATAATCACTTACTTTTCAACTTTTTACACGAAAATTACCTTTAAGTCATTCCAAAATCTGTTTTACCAGGAAAATTCATTATTCCAAGTATCTAAATCCCTAATTACTTTCCCCAAAAACATTCATAACATTACTCCAACTCTGACTCGTGATCACATACAACCATAACATCAACATCAAGCAACCATCAATTAAACAATTCAACAACAACAACAATTGCAACATTTGCATCAACTACAACAGTCCAAACATCAACATACAACATTCATCGGGAATCAACCAAAATCAACAAATACCATTCCATCAAAATTATGAATAAAAAGAAGAGAAACACAAATCTACATGATAGAATCTATCCATCATTATCATGTTAATGTGAAGACAAAGCTTCTCAAGCAATTTTAATGACGACACACTCCACAACATGCAAGAGTGGTTTAAAGGCTGTCGAGTAAATCAAGTTTGAAGCAACTTAATTTCATATCATGTCAAAGCTTGATCAAGAATGAAGAAAAGTTCTACACAAAGGGAGATACAACGTTTAAGCTACTATATACCTTAAACAAGTATTCAACCTCATTCTCTTTCTTGTATTTCATGTTAAAACCTTTATAAAACATTTTTATGCACTTCTGCCTCTTTTTTAAAACTATCTTTCTGAAAAATTGAACAGAGTAACCGGTTACTCAAACCTGGTAACTGATTACCCTTTGTAATCTTTCAAATTTCTTAGTACGTTGAGGCTGGTAACCGATTACCATTGGCGCTGCAGGCCAGAAAGTTGCATCTTTTGGCATAAAATTGTTTTCATTCTTCTTCTTGAATCATATCATCTCTTGGCCATTATGTCTCTTCTGAAAAGGTGTTTAGAGGCATATATATACCTCTAAACTCAGATTTTAAATCCAACCTTCTTGCAAAAATTTCAAATATATTTTCCATCTCTCATTCTCAAATTTCCACAAGTGTTAAAATTCTGATTTTTCAAGAGTGAAACTTCCATACTTCAACTTTCATAAATTCATCATAGTTTCACTCATTTACCTCTTGAACACTTGTTAAGATATATAAGAGTTGGAATACCAAGTGAAAGATTGATATTTTGAAGACAATTGCACAAAACATATTTTATTCATTTACTCTTTGATTACATACTTAGTGTTCCAGGATTGTTGTAATTAAGTTTGTAAGGTTGTTACCTTAATGTCCAGGATTGTTGGAAGCAAGAGGTCCATATTGAAAGGATTGTTCTCATTGGACTTAGTTGAAAAATCCAAGAGTTTGTTCTTGATGTTTGATTGTTTAGAATATGTATAGAAAGACTACGTAGAATTCTTATCTTAAGATCTAACAATTATTGAAAAATCTCTTTCGTGTTGAAAGAGGACCGGAGTACTCTCGGACTGTGAGGGGAACCAGAATATTTCGCAGTGTCTCTTTACTTTCCGCATTTACCGCATTCTTCACTTAGTAAACTTTAGGAAATTAAAACAAGGATCCTACTATTGCACCCTAAAATTTGACCAACCGGTTCTCCTATCTGACTCGTGGTTTAATTCATATCGCAAATCAGACGCATGATATTTGTGCACAGACAGAGGATATCAGGGTTACGGCTTGAGTTTCATTTACTAACTATGGCAGATCCAGTCTAGATCATCAGGGTTTTATTTTCGGGAAGTTGCGCGCTCCTCGGTGATTTTTAGCTTGCATAGTGATTTCAGGATATTCTGATACCAGGGGTTCTCTGTTCGATTCGATCTGTCTCGTGCGCTCTTTTATGTGGTCATTTGCATTTGTCTGCATTTTTTAGGTTTTAATAGACTTTTGTGGATCTTAAATAGGCATTTTAATCATTTTTAGGATTTAAATAGATTTTTTAGAATTTTAAATAGTTTAAATCTCTTTTTAGAATTTTTTTAAATAGATTTAATAGTTTTTTTAATCATTTTTAGAATATAAAAGATTTTAAATAGTTTTAGTTGTTTTAGATAATATAGAAAATATTATAGATTTTTCTTTTATGTTAATAGGGATTTTAATAGTTTTAAATAGAAATAAATAAAATTTGTTTTAATACAGTTTTTCTTTTAAATAGATATTATAAAATGGTATAGACTTTTGTAGAATTTTAATAGAAATTAGTAGAAGTTTATTAACATAGAGTTAATTAGATTTTAATCATTTTAGATTTAATTAGGGTAATTAGTTTAATATAGAATTTAGTTAGGTGTTAATTCTGTTTTTAGGTTTAATCAAGTTAATTAGGATTTTAATCATGTTTAGGTCTAATTAGGATTAAGATAGTTTAATTTTTGGATTAGTCAGGTTAATTAGTTAATTAGGTTTTAATTGATTTTAATTAGATATAATCAGATTTAGTGTTTTAATTCAGTTTTCAAGTTTTAATCAGCATTTTTCGTTGGGCCCAGAAGTGAATTTTTGAAGGCCCAGAGTCCAATTCGTTTTTTGTCCGTTTTGGCCACAGAAAGTGACACTTGTCACTATATAAACAAGCCACACGTCCACGCGAGGCCCCACCACCTCACAATCTCCCTCAGCTCAGAATCTCACACGCGTCCCACTCAGACCCTCACTCTCTCTTCTGCCACACGTCCAACCACGTGTCTTCCCCCAGTCTCTCTCACTCACGCGTGTCACCACCTCTGACCTCCCCTTCACCACTTGTCACCACCACAGCCCCTCACCTGAGCATCACCGGGACCTCGTCGCCGGCCATGCATCCACCCTGAACCTCCCCAACGGCCACCGTCTAACCGTCTCTGGCCACCGCCCCTTGCCGGAAACTGCAAAAAACTCAGAATTTACCAGAAATCCCCAGAGATCCTCCGATCTCCCCCTTCTTCCTCCATCCGACTTCATCTTCACCTCACCGGAAAATCTACCACCGCCGGAAACTTCAAGAACAGCTTTTCCAGAACTCATCCATTTTCATCGTTTGTCAAGGACAATCACACAGAAAATCAGCAAGGCTTCAGTGTTCTTCAATCTCTTCCCAGAACATCATCATTTCTCATCATCGATCATCAAGAACTTCGTGGATTCCCCAGAATCTTCATCAACCAGAATAAGGTTCTTCACCAAGCCATACGATTCGCCCAGAAATTTCCAGAACGCGAAGAAGCGCCTTCATCGCAAGCCCACCGGTCCTTCAAGAACATTACGACGCCGTTCGTCGCCATCAACACCTTCAAGAAATCCCAGATCATCCTCGTCATCTTCAGGAATCTTCGTCCAGATATGGATTCGCCCTCAACAGCTTCAAGATTTCCACGTTCTTCATTATTCATCAGTAGACCCAGGGTTCATCGAATCGCATCACACCTCCGGGTTCTTGTTTTCTTCCAACTCTTCTTGTAGATGTTTTGGATTATGAATCTATTAGGAGTTGTGTTGGTATTTAGGTTTAGGTTCTTGATAGTTTAAACGGAGGGAGAATTTGGTGAGATCTAGATTTGAGATTAGGGTGGAGTTGAGGTTTTTTTTGTGAGAGTGTGCGTAAGGTTTGGGATTGTTCAGAGAGGATGAGAGGTTGGGGATGAACGGCGCTAGGGTTTCTGTGTGGTGAACAGTGATCAGGGCAATGGAGAGG